AATTTTTGCTTTAGCATCGGGCTGAGGTAGAGGAACAATACACACAATATCCACCTTCAAAGCAGCTGGAGTTTGTTACAGAAATTAAGGAGAGGATGTGGCCATGATAGAAACTTATGGGACTACTGGTGGGAGGGCAATTGCAGAGAGTTCAAACAAAGATTCATATAAGGACAGAGAAACTGACAACAACAGATAAAATAATGGGTTTTATCTTTAAAAATCACTCTTTATATTGTAAGAGGTATTGATCAATATTATTATGGAGAATTGCTAAAATCATCAGCCAAATAAAATAATGCCAAGAAGATTGCAATTTGCACTATAGGAAAGCAAATTAATTGATACAACCTATGTAGATATTCCAATACAGAGTATGAGCTGAAGGATCTTTTTATTTGCTGAAGTCCAAGTGTAATTTGTTCATATCCAGTAAAACCATGTTCTTATACTATTATTGCCTGAGGAAGGTGGCCATGCAGTTTAATATTAATGTTTCAGTGACACCTATACACGTGTTATTCCCAAGTGTGACAATGCAGAATGTCCCCCTAGTGAAGCTCAACTTTGAGAACAAAATCCTTTATCAACACCCACAAGTAGAAGGTAACTGTATAACAATCCTCTTCCCCTCGGCCAACTATAACATCACCATGATCACCTGTAAAGAAGAAAATAAGGGGAGCATGAAAGATCTGAAGAGAAAGAATAAGTTTAAAACAAATGAAAAAGAAGAAGGGACTGAAGAGTCAGAAAAGAAGGAAGCTTAATACAGGAGTCAGAAAAATGAGGAAAGAAAACTCTTCTCTGCAAAATCAAAATAGTCCATTCTCACCACCAGCAAAATCATGTCCAGGAGGTATTTCAGTATTTGTGTTTCAAGGGTTGGCCACCTGGATACATTCTGGAGGCATCTTAAGAATTTATTGGTTTGGAGCAGCTACAGCTCACTGAACCATTTCTGCTGGAATAAGCCCTTAACATGGTGATCCCTGCTTAAATCCCTGCCCCAACATTGGCACTTCAAGAATGTCAGGAATTACAACACAGTTTTATAAGTCCATGGTATAATTTACACCTTGTACCATATGTTCAGGTCTGGCTACTCTAAGAGACTACCAGAGTGATACAGGCTTCTAGGAAGAATATAACTTACAGGTTTTGGTTCCACCCTTTCTGTATTGTCCATAGGAGCTAGAACAATGCAGAAACAAATTCTGACATATCCAGTTTTTAGGTAAATATTGTGTAGCATGCACATTACAGGGTATATAAAGTGACAGACAGGAGGTTTTTACAAGCAAGTCAGGGAAATTCCAAGATAAGAGTTTTTTAGGCTGTGGTTCCATGGCAACCCAAGCCAATCTAACTGGTTCTTTCACTCCCATCGTTCTCCTCACTCCTCTGGGGAGCTCCCAACCCTTCCATTTCACTCCCTGTAGCACTCAGCTGACCTTTTGTGAAGCCATCTCAGCACACTAACCAGGTGGAACAGCACAGCGGCAGCTCTCCAGAACATCCAGGGATTTTCTGAAGCACTGGGGAATGGGAACAGAGACCCGCTGGAAGCGGTGCTAGAGGCCAGGGAGATCAGCAGCCAGCTGCTCTATGGACCAGGCTGCTGTGGGATCCCAGCCTGCACATCCGTGCCGCGATCAGCATCAGCGGAGGGTCAGGAACTGTTCCAAAGCAGCTGTTTGCTCTGCTAAAGCCACGGCTGCCTATCTGCAGGGTTTTACTCACTGTCACCCGGCTCTGCTGTGTGACCAAGCACAGAAGGTTCGCCTCTGGGCACAAACCAACAATCCCTGATGAAATTTGTTTATTCCTTTGGTTCCTGACCTCAGCTATATGGGAGCACTGCCGCAGAAAATGTGTTTAAAAAAAAAGAAAACACCCCCGAACTGTCGATCACTGAAAGGTCAGCTTCCCTCCTGCCCCCAAATTTAAAAGCCATCTTTTCAGGCAACTTAAAGCAAGACACCGAGTTTCACACGGACGTGTCTGAGGCATTAGTTCATCCGCCTGCCTTGCTGACTCCTCACCGCAGCAGATGCCTTTGCAAAGTCACATTTTGAGCCGCGCTGTTTGCCAGAGCTCATTTGTCAGCGCCCCGAGGCGAGCCTTTCATCTCCCAGCCACACAATGATAGCAGAGCTGCAGTAGAGGTGGCTGTATTTACATGCATGAGCAACCCAGTTAAAATGCATATTTCAGCTGCCCGAACTCTCATTTGCTCACTATCAGCCATTCAGGAGGTGTCCAGAAAACTCAACCCCCTCTCCAAGGAACCAGTCTTTGGACTCTTGCTGTAAACACCCTCCTGTAGCTCAGGAAGGTTCTCAGTAAAGGCAGGACAATGCAGACCAGTCCTTTCATGAACAGAAGAACACGTCTTCTTCTAGACAGAAAAAGAACCCAATATGCACACACAGCTTCAATGGAAATTTTAAAAAAATCAATCTATCCCAGACCTCTCGGTATGACTGATGTTTTAAGTTCTAAAAAAATTACTAAGAATTGGCACCAAAAAGGCAGCAAAAGAATGTGAGCACAAAACCAAAACTTGCTAAACAAAGTAAAATATCTTCAGAGCTGGTCTTCATTTAAATAGAAAACACTTTCATAAATACCAGCATTACAGTTTAAGAGAAACTCTATACTCTTGGTTTTTTAATCCAAATATTCACAACACCCAGGAACTGTCTGTTTGAGGAGTCATAATGGGTTGAGCACACTGGCTCCTGCTATAAGACCAGGCACTTCCACACCAGAGCACTCAGAGATGGCACTCAGGGCTTAAGATGCTTTTAGAACGGCAGAAGGTAATTGCTTTCCCATCACAGGACTCCAAGAACACACCCCTACAACCACCTTGGCACGGTATAAGAACATAAGGACTTAGCCTCACCAGAAACAAAGATTATGTTCAACAACATGGGCCTGGACTTGCAGGAAGGCAGTTAACTCTGCTGTCATGCCATGACCATGTTTTTATTTGCTCAGTTCCCACAGACTTCAGTGTTACATAGTCCAGTTCAGGCCCACCTTCTCCCAGGAGCATTTATTCTGGTGGAGCCGGCACTGGGCACACACACAGGCTTGCATAATAAGCAGGGGTTAACAAACTACTGTGCTTTGCATTCTGCTGAGTAACTAATCTGCTGCTAAAATACATTTAGCATCATTGTCATCTCAAAAATAACATTTCTACAGACTAAAAGGCCCACATCTGTCTCCAGTCTGTAGTGACTCAAACACTTCAGCCCAGCATCGGGGTGGGGAGGTTTATCTGAAAGCCACCCTGAAGAGTCTACTTAGACTAAAGACCTGCTTATGTGAAAGTAATAAGAGATAAAAGACATGTTTTTATGTCATCCCCAGCAACAAAGACAATTCAACCATTGCTTGTATTTAAATACCAGTCCTTGAACTCTCAAAGCTCTTTTCAACAGAAAATATCTTTATAGACAAAAGTTGTGTTGAGTCACACAGCATCTACCCTTAAAGTAGTATCAGCATTTCAGAATAGACACCACCATGTCTTCAAAAGCAAATTACTAATAGCATAAACAAGGAATTAGATGTAGTTCTTCATAGACTAGTTTCTCCTAAAAATAAATAAAAATAAGTGAAAATCCTTTAAGACAGTTATCTAACAAAAGGACTCCTTGGATTTATTTGATCAAAACAGCTTTGCTTCAGTCAACTGGAAGGTCCCTCAGCACACAGCACCGTACAAAGAATACCAGTTTTCAACTAAGCTCCTACTCCCTAAGGACACCCACTAATGCTCACAGAATCTTCAAAGATCTGGACTTGTGCATAATCTGCAGCCTAGGTAAGTTTACAGAAAAAAACTCCACTTAGTCTCTATGTACTTCCACTTCAGATCCAAAGTTCATTTAAGAGGTGGTTACAGCGTAATTCCTGTGAGAGGTTTATGCTCCCCCAAGCCAGCAGTGAGAAAGCACAGGTGGGTAAGGTAACCATGTTTGCATCCTTCTTCTGGGTGATCAAAGTGAGGGGATTTATCCTACCTATAGCAGGATGGACACCTGAGAACATCTAAAACGACTTAATCCTTTAAGATCAGCCTACAGTAACAAGTGATCATCCCAGTCCTACTGACAGGAAAGTCTCCTCACATTTGTTCCAGCAAAATGCTGAGTATTACCCACTTTTACACTGCGTGAAGAAACTTACTGAGATGAAACCTAATTCTTTTGACAAGTTAAAACATTTTTTAAAGTACCTGCTTGGCTTTGGCTCCATTTCCGATTTTGACAGACTCCAGCACCAAAGCATCCCGTTTTCCAGAATAAACCTGTCACTCCTAGAAGTTAGGTCAGGACTTTAATAGGAAGGCCTCTTTCATAAAGCTCTCTAAAACAAAGACTTGTGAACAAACTTCTCACTTCTCACCTCTACAGATAATTTAAAAATCTTCCTGCACTCCAGAGTACACTTCCACAATGGATTACATATGGAGCAGCTCAGGGTTCAAACCTCTAAAATTGGAAACAGAAGTGGTTGCATATTAGTTACATATAAGAGAGAGCTCGGATGTGAAGCCAGCCTAAGTGCCTTGCACAAAGGATTGAAATCAAGACACTCAGGAAACCCAGCAGGTGAGAACCACAGAGAAACAGAATAAATTCCATGGGTAAACTAACCCAAGTTCTTGGAACAATAAGAAGGCCCCTACAGTTTTATTAAACTACTCTCACCAAACAGAACAATTACTGAAGATAAGTAACAGGCAGCAACAAAATTAGCTGTAGCAGGGAAAAGCATCCTATTTTTTTCAATCATTCCACTTCTGCAAAGGTCACCTGTCACTGCACGGGCTGCCCATGTGCTCCTGCCTGACTGCAGAGCAGCAGTCTCTGGCAAGCTGGGCTGTCCAATGCAGAGACTCAGGTACTGTGAGCACCCCCTTTGCTGCAGCAGCCACAATAAACTGATTTTTTAATCACAAACCAGAGGACACACTCAAGTAGCTGGCAACATGATGGACCAACTCAGTGGATGTTTATTAGGGAAGTGATCAGTGTACATAAGCAGACATACTCTCAGCAAGAATACAGGCATGAAAGAAACAGAGCTTGGAATTCAGAGCTTCTATACTGCTCCATGAACATGGTATGGAAATGGCTGAAAATCCCAGGACAAAGTTATGATGCACCTATATTTTTCTAAACAAGTTTCCATACAATTTCATTTTCTTAAGCAACTGCTTTGTAGTATTTTCTTTTGCATTTGGACTGCACAGAGCCACTCTATTTTATCTGAGTATATGGAGAACAAGCTTAACAACACATAACTCTTACAAAAGTAGCAATAGGTTTTCCCCAGGGTCATAGGGAAATAATTTCTGAATTTAGAAAAGTAGAAATGTATTCCCTTGCCTGTTTTGCCCAAGAACTGCTCCTCTAATATACAGTGCTGTAATTGCTCCTCCTCTAAAATCTACTGGAGTATAAAGCTGAAGCCTTTCAGCCACTTGGTACACCCAGTTTCTCTACTACTATATTGCAAATATTAGGTAAGTTATTTGGAGCACCAATGAAAAATTTCAGTGTTACAGTATCTCATGACAGTTTAACAATGAACCAAGCCCAGCCTCCTCTCTGGCTTTATTTATATTTCAAAAGCCAATACAAAAATGTTACACACATACCAGTCACTGTTGCAGACTAGAATTTTAAGCAGTCACCAGGAATTTACTGCTGCGGTATTTTCCAACAATGTGCAACATTCTGAGTTCAACTGAAAGGGTACTCCAATGCAATATTCAAGCCTGGTGGGTTTTTTCCAAGCTTTTGGCAAATGTGGAAATTCCACTGCTTCCCAGTAGCTCCATTATTTTTATGTAACTCACAGCAGGTAGCTACTTAAATAGGTTGTTTCGTTATATATAAATGCCACTAGAAGTATGGTCCTGCTTTACTTTTGTGGCTTGGTTTAACCTAAAAAAATCAGTTCTGAAAGCACCTAGTTATACCAATAGCCTAATTACATGAAAATGTTCATCTGTGTTCAAGTATGCAAGACCTAGTCAAAGGAGTATCAATTTTAGGTACTGGGTTTTCAAACAAAAAGCTTTTTTACAAGAGACAATTAAAGCTTCCATCAGGCTACCAGAGGTTACTGTGAGAATCACATCTAAGCTGCAGGAGTATTGGTCTATTTCTGACAGTGGTATTTAAGTATTTATTAAGCTGTTTTCATCCATTTATTCATTTGGCTGACATCCACCTGCCACATGTAACATTTGAAAATGCAGTTAACAAGCTGCTAGAATAAGGAATCTGGATAGCGTTCAGCTGGATATTTTCTATTAACATAATAGGCAAGAGCTTCTAGAATTTGTCTTGCTGATATACTTCAACTCTGCCTGAAGCAAGGATGGGAAAACAAACCCCTGCTAGTACAAAATAGTTCAAGTATGTAAAAAAGCCACTGACTGTTTTTTTCTGCACAAGCAGAAAAAAACCCTCCCAGTTTCTTACAGATCTCTAGGAATATTCAAGTGAAATTCTATTTTAATTTTTAAAATACAGAAGTTTAATCACTTAGCCAATATAAGAGTTCTACAAACTGCATTATGGATAATGTTGCACATCTTATAACTGAGAGCAATACCAAAAGATAGAGTGCTGCCAGTGACAGTGGTAATAAAAATTGGCAATTTCAACATTTCAATTCAGAAAACATCTGTTATTCTAAACCCAACAGATGTATATAATGTATATCAATATTTATTAGACCCAGTCACCATGCTACAGTATTAGATTAATAAACCCTCTCATTTTGAGAATACACCAGCATAAGGTATGAACATAATGAAATCTATATGAAATTTTACAGTAACTTTCCAGAAGTATGCCTGTGGCCTATCAAATTTGCATTAACATATTGTAGATTTAAAATATTTGCTTGTCTTCTTAGCATACCTACATGTAAGAATAGTTGCTTAATACCCAAAAATAAATATAAGCTTTCAATTGAAAGCACTTATTTTCCTAGATTTCCAAAGTGGAGTCTGAGGGGTGAAAATGCTTCAGACTTGCCATCAGTCCACTTCAGTACATAAAAGCATCTCCTGCCCCAGTTTTTCGTTCAAATCCAAAAGATTTGCTTGCAGTGAAATATGACCGGAGCACGGGTTTGATTCGCAGCCCTTCAGTCTGTTTCCATGGCAGCACTGCGGGATTCCTTGGCCACCATGAGCCGCATGAGCTGACTGTGGAATTTCTCGATCTTCTTCACGTCTTGTGCCTGGTCTGTTCTGTACAGCAAACACTGCAAGGCAAAGTTCCTGATATCAGATTTCACTTCAACTGCTTTTATCTTGTTTGTAGCTGCTATGCACTTGTGTGCTTGGAACACAAAAAACAAGGAGAGCACTGAAATGTTCATTAGTTGCCAGGAGGCAGCACCAACACATCTACCCTGGTCCAAAGCACAAACATATCTGTGTTTGCTTTTAAACATCTCCTTAATGCTCCTGTCTCCCACATTGAAAACAGGGAAACTCCGAATTTATCCTAGCTTCTTCTAGCTCCAAAAAGTTGTTAAAACTTGGGTTTTAAAGCTGTCCTTTTTTTGTGTTGTCTAAACAGAGAAACAGATTTTAAACCTGAACTTACTTTCCATTTCTTTATATTCTGAAAGCAAGTTTATTTTGCCTTTCACAGTCCTTAATGTTACACCCCCAGGGACATAAAATTCTTAAAGTTCAATTCCCATTGAAGGGGATCCCCTACCCCAAGCAAAACCTGTTTTTCTAAGACAGCCCTAAACAGGGAGCACAGCATCCACCCAAACAAACAAAACAAAAAACCCCAAACACTAAAACAACCCAACCAAACCCTGAAACCAGTCCTCATTTCCCCCCACCCTGTGTAACATCATTCTGTGACTGAAAGCAGGTAAGGCAGCCTATACCCCAGAAGAGTTCACGTTTGTGAATCACCTGACTCCAACTTCCCCTATGGGCGATTTCAACAAAATTACCCTTAAATTCCCCTTTATCACTGCCCCACAATCAACACCTCACCCATGTTAAGCCCTACTGCCCTATCAAGAAGTGCCTTTATTGGAGTTTCACATCCATTCCAGGCACTTGAAATTCCAATGCCAGACTACTTTTCCTGGAAAGAAGAAATTTGACTCTTTTCCAAGTCTGAAGACAAGAGTAGGGCAGAATACTGTGTCTGGACTGCAGAATACCAGAATACCCTTGACTGCAGAAAAACAAACTCCTTAGCTGTAACATTGCTGTCACTCAGTCTCATAATCACAAAGAAGGAACTTCACCCACAGCTGGAAGTTTTCACCACTCTGAGCAGATAAAAAGGACCAGGCTCACACTAGTAAACACCTGTTTCAAAATGCTCCTGAACTGGTCAGTGTCAATCATAGAGCAACAGGGAAGGCTGAGTACAACTTTTTAGAAAATTGTCAGGCACTTTCAAGGCAGTGTCCAAGAGCTCCCAAGTTGACTGACAGCAAAACAAAAGTCTGTGAGAGGTACAAGAAGCTCTGAAAGGGGAATGTGCTCTGTACTTACAGCCACATCATCTGTCACTTTGATACAGAGGTTCCCATCACAATGTCGGTATTTTAGGACAACACGCACCTGAAATGACAAACATTTTAGGAATTAGCACTTACAGCAAACAACTTTCAGAATATATTGAAGGGAATCTGCCCACATTCAGACTACCCTTAATCATAATTATGTACTGCTCCATGTTTTCAGCACCTCTGTGGCAGTCCTCAGCTCTGGTGCTGTGGGAGCTGTAATCCCACAGCCAAGGTGGTGTGAAGTTGACCCACCACATTTCCCTGCCTTACAGTGTAGACTGCTTTTCTAGCAGCATCAGCAAGGTCAACATTGGGCATGTTCAAAAACCCTGCAAATACAGCAACAACAGTTGCAGAGACCTTGGAGACAGGCAGGACAAACCATGAGTTGTGTCGAGACACCCCCTCGCTGTGTATCACACCCCAGATAAACTAACTGGAAGCCTGTGTTTGTAGGCTTGAAACACTTCAAAAAAGAGTAGCTCTACATGAAGGCTTGAAAGGGATCAGCTGAGTGGGGCAGGCTCAACATCACCACTTTTTCTTCTATGGCACCTGAACTATTATCACAGCTACTCCTGAAGTCACCCACCCTGAGCTCTAACCCATCCAGTCCCTCTGGACCCTCAACTCACCAAAGTTCTCAAAGCCACACTGATAAAATCCACATCCTCAGTGGCTGAGCATTAAATGATTCTTCCTGAACACAGTTTGCAGCCTCAGCTAAAGTCAGTAACTAGAAACAAAGCAAGGTGGGCTTTGACAGCATTCTGAACTCACACTGCAAAGTTTTTATTGTACAGTGATTTGTGCTAATGGTCAATAACCTCCTTCGCTACAAACACATCTTGAAACTCCTGTTCCACAGCGGCTCTCATCACAGATTGACCCTTTTTGTTTAACAAACTGCCACCTCCTGCCCACAGCAGCAGTGTGACAGCACATCTCCCTGCTGAGCAGCCCCAAAAGCACAAGAGAGGCTGCCACAGGCAGCGGGTTCACACTCAATGTATCAATAACCTGCTCCTGCAAAGGCAAGACCTGGCTGGAGAACACACACCCATCTCCCACAGCTCTTGTTCTTTCTTCAGCTTCCCAGCAAGCCCAATTATGAAATTGCTGGGGCTAATTCTCTGCCAAATTAAAAGGAGGGTACTTGTATTATGACAACAGGGCCTATATAAACCCCTCTCTAAGTAGACAAATTTACTGCCACGGATGGGAAGGGATTACTTTTGGAGGCACTTCAAGGAAAGGGGAAGAGCAACTCCCTGCTGCACTGACATCCCTTCCTCCATTTAACTGAATGTCACAGAGCCTAGGAAGGCAAAACTGGGCTATTTTATTATCAGTAGCAATCTCATATGGTGTCTCTGTGCTAATTGAAAGGCAGAGCTAATCTGCTTCAAATAATCAGATAATTTAATCTTCTGAAGGTTTCTCCAGTTCCCCTGCTTTTGGTGAAGAACACAAGGCCTTTTTTACTGAAGTTTTCTCAGGTGTAAGTTTCACATCACATTTTTGTGCTGCTTTTTAGGCAAACTATAATGCTTTTTCTGAAGACTGAGGTTAATTTTAATATTTGCATAAACCACATGCCCAAAATAAGTGACCAGAAACAAGAAACAGTCATAAACTGAGAAGCAAACTCCTTGAGAATTGTTCTTTAGGATGCAAACACCTTCCAGTCTGAAACGTCACTGCAGGCAACAATGCAACGCTAATGAAAGGACAAATTCAAATACTCTGGGTCTTAAATGCTATAAACTCATAAAGTAAACTAATTATAGATACTTCAGCAGAACTCTTAACCTCGGTTTCCAACACACATATTGTGAATGAACTCAATGTATTTGACGTTCCGTTCGTGAGGTTCATCCCAGCTGCCAATAACACCACCTGAAACGCTGTTCCCCAGGGATGCTGTTGGGGCTACAAATGAGAGCTTCCTCCCGTTCCACAGAAGAGGATGCTCAGCTGCAACACTAATGAGTAATCAACACCCTTCCTCGCAGGTTCTTTTCCCCTGTACTCGACACTGGCAAGAGCACACTTCAGGGGCTGCGTCCAGTTCTGGGCCTGTCACTTCAAGAAGGGCACGAAGGTGCTGGAGAGGGTCCAGAGCAGGGCAGTGGAGCTGGGGTGCTCAGCCTGGAGAAGAGGAGGCTCGGAGTGACCTTCTGGCTCTCTACAGCTCCTGACAGGAGGGTGTGGCCGGGTGGGGTCGGCCTCTTCTCCCATGCAACCCCCACACAGCCTTAAGCTCTGCTAGGGGAGATTTAGGTTGGACATTAGAAGAAATTTCTTCCTAGAAAAGGTGATTAGACATTGGAAAAGGCTGCCCAGAGAGGTGGTGGAATCAGCATCCCTGGAGGTGTTCAAAAAATAAGCAGACGTGGCACTTAGGACTATCTATGGTCTACTTAATATAGTCGATTGTGTCATAGGCTGAACTCGACGATCTCGGAGGTCTTTTCCAACCTAATCCATTCTGTAATTCTGCGATTCTTGCCTCCCCCGTGCAGTCACCAGCGACCCCCCCAGCCCGACACCGCCCGCCGCCCCCGCCGAGCCGCGCGCAGCTGCAGCTGCCTCCAGAGCGCCGCTGCCGCAGCCGGGCCGCGTATCCTGCCCTCCCGGCCGGGCTGTCCCACCTTCATGGGGTCGGCGAGGTAGAGCTTCTCGGCGGCGCGGGTGAACTCCTCCCAGGCCTGGAAGTGCGGCATGGCCGGGCCCGCTCGCTCCCCGCCGCCGCGGCAAGATGGCGCCGGAGGCGGCCGGGCGGGCGTGCGGCTGAGACGGCGCCTGCCATTGGCCCGCGGGACAGCGCCACCCAATCGCGGGCCGCGTAACTCCGGGCTCCCCGGGCCGCCGCCCCGCGCTCCCGCAGCAGCGACCCCTGGAGGCGCGGCGGGATGGCGGCGGGCGCTCCCCGCCCGGTGACGGCCGGGCTGAGGGTAACAGGTTCGAGTCCCGCCGCCGGCGGAGCGCCCGCCCGCCCGGGGCCGGTTCCTGCGGGGTTCTGCCAGGCCAGGCACGGGCTGTGCCCGCGGTAACCTCACGTCCTGAGGCCACGGGGGACGCTGGGGAGGTGGGTGGGCCAGCGGGGGGAGCCCGGGGGTCTGGCGGGAGGGCAGGGCCCGGCCCGGGCCGTGCGCCTGAGGTGTTCGGCTCGCTCCCAGCCGGGCGGCTCCCGGTGTGCCCGGACTGTGGGGCGGCACCCGGTGTGCCCGGACTGTGGGGCGGCACCCGGTGTGCCCGGGCTGGCAGGGGCCGCGGGAAGCTGGAGGTTGGTCCGTGTGGAACAAAAGGATGTGTGGGAGCCCCTCGCTGCCTCCTCTGCTCTGCTTTGCTGAGGCATTGCTAAAGTAAAGCTGCTCTCTGGGGAAGAGGCTGAATGGCATAGATAAAATTATGAAATGTTGGGGAACTCTGCTTTTCCATCGTGTGTGTGTGTGTGTGTGTGTGTGTAAAGCTTTTACATAAAGCTGACTTAAAAATTCCTGTCAAAAAGGAAATGAGGAAGGAAAAAAAAAGATCTGAGATTTCTTCTGTTATGTTTTAAAATCCCATTGCCTGCGATGATTTCTGTGCCTGTATAGAACAAAGCTTGTAGCCAGACACAGAACTGAGCTCTGCTCATGTCACAGGGCTTGTGCAACTGCTGCAGTGACAATAAGCACTGTAATTTGCAGTCTCTATTCTCCATTTCACAGGGATTCACTGAAAACCCGAAAGATCCTGATGATGATTCATAGCTCCAAGTTTTACTGAACAACTTGAAACTCACCAGTGTGGCCAAACAAATAAACTAAAAGGTTTAGGGCAGATCTGCATTTGAGGGGACAAATTATGCAGGCTGTTGCAGTCTCCATTAACAACATGGGGAAATACTATAGCTGTAGGCTTTTTTTTTTTGCCACAAAAGGCACAGTACATGCAAGAGAGAATGAAGAAATGTGGCATAGAAATTAAAGGGTGGATGAGTGGTAAGGGGAGAAAAACTAGAATTAAATTCCCTGAGTCAGTAAAGCAGAAAATAATTGTGATTATGGGGATCTACTCTGAAAACGTCTACAGTGATTAGACTGACAAACTTCATAAATTGTGACTTTGTGGGTGTTATGTGGTCTAAACAATTCTGGTAAAGGGCTTTGCACCACTGAGTAGAGGCTATGGAAGGTAGAAAAATTTAAGGATTTTTTTCTTTCTTTCTTTCCAGACCTGCTCACAAGGTTTAGGTGTTGATGTGTCACAGAACCCAGCTTCAGAATTACAAGAGTTGTCTATTGTAAATGCAGGCAAACGCGGTGGGAAGAAATTATGATGTCTGACTCAGTTCAGAAGGCTGAATGATTTCTTTATTGTAACTATGCTACAATACATTAATGTACTATATAAAGGACGATACTAAAACTCCATACCTGCTTTCTCTACCATATCTAACTAATAACTTTTGACCCTGTTCTTGAGAGTCTAGACCAGGTGGTCTGGATTGGCCATCAGGCTCAAACAATTCTCACCAGAATCCAATCAAGCAATCACCCCAGGTAAACAATTCTCCAAACACATTCCACATGAGAAAATCAAGGAGTAGAAATAGAAATTGTTTTCTCTTTCTTTCTCTCTGTGCAGCTCTGAAAAATCCTGAGAGAGATAGAAATGTCCCTGTGACAGTTGTCTTTCAGAGATGCTGAGAATCAAGAGATTATCAGGTGATAGATATATGGACATAGCCTAAAGCAATCATCCCAAACAGAATGCTTCTCTACTCTCCTTGGGTTTGGGTAGCTACTTATAACAGCAGAGTAGGAATTGCATTTGGTAATGTTGAACAGATATGTAGGGGATGTAAACATGTGGAGAGCACAAACCCTGTAACACACATTTTGCAGAATTATTGTTCACCAAATTTGGGTCCAGGTTTCCAAGTGGGACACGGGTGCACCTTCTGAAAGAGCCTCAGTTTTGGGCTGTCCAGTCATAAGCACTTTAGAGAGGATTTTAGTTTTGACTCAAATGTTCAGGATCTTTTGTGTGTTTTTTGACACAGAAGTGGTTCAGGAGCTTGCCAACGCCCAGTCATTAGCCCTGCAGTTGAGCTAATGCAACAGAGCAAGATCAGAAAACAAGCCCATTGTAGTATTTTTTCCCCCCCGTAACACGATGATTTCCATGATCCATTTTAGGATGCAGCTTCTAAAACAGTTCTGTAGGCACAATTTTGGAGGTGACGAACTGCAGCAGCCAGGGCAAAGAACAGAGAGAGGGATTTCATAACTGGCCTTGCCTCTGAGGGAAATGGGATGTGTCACAATGACAGTTCTGTACAGCCTGGTACACAACTCTGCATAGCCTCTTCCTGGCTGCAGATCTTAAGGATTTTGTCATCACTGCCACCACCACCTATGGCCCCACGCTGTGCTGCCACAGCTGTTTGTGACTCTGTACTGGGGATCAAACCGATGCTGGGATTAAAAGCAGCACCGTTTTTAGTAACACTTTTTTTACTGAGATGAATTTGGTTTTCTAGTTTAATGTGTGGCCTTATGTACTGTTGTGCTGCCACAGCTGTTGAAAATGTACCTTGTTTGGTGGCAAGACAGAATCTGGGAATTCCTACTGGTTTTGCTGGATTGCCACCAAAAATGAAGGGCTGTATATGAAACCACCCCCGCCCCCAGTTCCCCTGAAAGCAGGGCCAGTTGCTGAACTCTCCACAATTAAGAAGAGAAGCTATTTCTGAGCCCCAGGGAATGTCTGATACCTGTAGTTAGTGCACTGCTGCGCTCTGTTGTTCTCCTTTTGCCTGGAGAACAGAACATTTTCTTGACATGTTTGGAAAGTAAGTCAGACCACTGCAGCTATTCAGCTGTAAGTTGTATTTGATGTATGTCCAAAACTGTATTTTTCAAGTGAGTTCCAGTGAGTGCAGTAATAGTAGCAATCTTTCAATGGGCTTTTTGTTTAGTGAAATAAAATGAACAGTTGTTTATCACTGCGTGGAGTGCTTGGTATGCAGCCAATAATAATTTAGTAGTTAGTAAGAATTCTACTAAAACATAAATACTTATCTTGCTTTCTTTTCTTGAGTTTCTGCTTTCTGCCATGCAAGAAATCATTCCAACGGTCTTAACGGCCCATTCCATCACTTGCAAATGAAATCTGGAATGCTATTAAACCTCATTTACCCTTTCCTCAGTCTTTCTCTGTATATCCTTGCTGTATTCCCTAGACCACCTTAGATAACGTCTTTTTTTGCTTGGATTTAAGGCCATAAAAAGCTATGAAGCAATAATGTAAGTACTTGTGTGATGAAGACTTTTCATGTGGGTTTTCCTCAGGCCTTTTCCCCTCATCCAGCCTGTATGTACATGATTAATTATCTCTCTTTGATCAAGCTCCTACATGCGTTGCCGCTGCAAGTTCTGCTTCGTAAAGTTCTGTTCAGGCACCTGGATTGTACTTGGTGATTCCTTTAGGTATTTTATCTAGTGTCTTACTTTGCATTAATGACAAACTGAAATGAAATGGTAGAGAAAGCATTGCATTAGATCTTAAAATATCATCCGTGGAGATCTTACAACTCCTGCAAAGTTCATGGAAGTGCAGCTGCTTAGCATCACTCAGAGTCAGACATTTGGTTTCCTGTTCTTCATGTTAACGCTTTTATTCTATCTAAAGCAGGTGCCATATTCATCTTTGTGGGTTTTTTTGTTGTTTTTTTTTGTTTTGTTTTTGTTTTGTTTTTGTTTTTGTTTTTGTTTTTTTTTTTGCAAAACTATGTTTCTCTCCTGGATAAGGAATTCAGATAAGAGTATTAAATTCATGAAAATAGTTATCTGTCACCATGACATACTACTGGTGGGTAAAACAAGCTGGTCTTCCCAGCTAAAAGAAGCTTTGTATGGAACACTGTGCTTTATCATGCTAAATTGTGGATTAGATGGGAAACAATGGGACAAACTGATTTCAGTTATGCTGCACTAAATTCAGAGTAATTCAATTTATTTCATTGGATATTTTTTTTTTTTTTTAATCTGTAACAGTATAATTAAGAGCAGACTTTGGTGCCAGGATGCTAATCCTGTTCTTGGACCGGGAGCAACATAAAGTCAGCGCACTAATTCAGGTCTGAGAGAGTGCTAATGAGGAGTTAGTTACAAGGCAATTATTACTGCCAAGAATGCTTAATGCTTAAAGGAGATATACAGTTGTTTCTTTCAAAGTAGCTTCAACCCAGCCCTTAGCAAAGTTAAGGAGAATCCCAGGCATTGTGATTATACATTCCATTCTTGTGTGTGTATGGTCTAAACCAGCCTGGGATTTGTACTGATGCAGACTGTAATCACACGGGGCTATTTTTTCCTTTGAAAGTGCATTTATGTGCACAGGGATGCAGATAAATCTCGAATACACTGAGATCCGAGGTCTTGACTTCTCACTGGCTTCTGAGTCTCTCTGCCCATGAGAACCGAGCCTGCAGTGAGAAGCACTTTGTGCTCCTGGATGGGTTATAACACGCCAGTCTGAGCCACAGGTTTCACTCCACAGCTCCTGAAGGAGCACAAAGCACGCGGCTCCTTTTTAGGGTTTTTATATTTTATGCAGCTTGGCTGAAGGTTTTGCCAGGTTGAGCCATACACAGTTAATTACATCAACGCCAGTTTTCTATTATTTTGGACACAAGCATCTTAGAGTGATTCAGGCTCATATTGTCCTAACAGGATAATTAAATATTGATGTCATTTTGTTGTTAAAAGACATTTCGTGGCAGTTGAGGCTGTATGTG